ATAGGAACTGTTGCTACTTTTACTTTACAGATGAAATTGCCAGTTTGAGTGCTAAAAAAAATTTAAAAAGAAAAGAAATTATAGGCTCCCCAGGTTCATAAGTAGTGGAGCCAGGAATTGGACCTGGATAATTTTAACTTCAAAATCGAATGTCTAAATCCATATTTGAAGCTACTTTTTAATTTTTATATTATTGGTTAGTTTTTCTAATTTTTCCCATCTAGACTTAAAAAAGGAAACCACCATGTGATGGCAATGAAACAAAGCAAACAGGCTGGCAGTTTCCTTGAACCCTTTTCTACTTGTTTAAGTCCCAAAAAGTTATTTGATAATATATCTCATATACTTCGTTAATTTTCCAGTTCTGTGTTATGTTCCATTTTTTTTTTTCATTTCCTAAAGCACTTGGTTTGAATCTCTTCTTGGAAATTAATTAAAGTCTCTGAAACTCCATTTTCTCAGATATGAAGTAGGAGTAGTAATTCCCAGTTGCAAGTAAAGGTTATAGAAAAATAAATGCGATGCTGTCTTGCATTTGCATGGCAACGTAACATGTTCTCAAAATAAAAAGTGCTAGTCAGGATCCTGCCCAATTTGTGAGCCTCTTCATGGACTCCTGGACACAAATTTGTGCAATTGCCTTATTTTCTTCTAAACCAGAGGTCAACAAACTATGGTCCGTGAGTCAAATCCAGCCCATTTCCTGTTTCTGTAAATAAGATTTGATTGGACCCAGCCATGCCCAGTCTCTTACGTATTGCTGTGGCTGTTTCCACATTACATCAGCAGAGTTGAAGAGTTGCAACAGAAATCCGATAGCCCACAAAGCCTAGAATATTCACTATCCAGCCATTTGCAGAAAAAATTTGACCATACGTCCCCCTTCTAAGCTGTAAGCTCCTCAAGGAAGGACAGTGTATTCCACTCATGCAGTCCCCCATAGCACCCAACACAAGTTCTTGCAAGTGGCCAAGGAATATTTCTTGAACAGTTTTTATTTTGGGGGGGCAGCATTATGGTGAACAACTATGATATTTTTTGCTTCATTCCTGCAGTAGATTACACTGCTTCAAAAAATTGTATATATTCTTGTAAGTCCATACATGCCTTATGAGTAAATAGACTAATTTTGACTTAAGCATTTGGTCAAATAAAATAGTTACCATTTTTAAGGGCTTGCTACATGAAAACATCACTATTACTCAGTTCTTAGAACAACCCTAGATGCTAGGAATCATTCTATTTTACTAAGGAAGAAACTGTTCAGACAGGTTTGATAACACGTTTCAAGTGGCAAAACGAAGTTTCAAAGCGAAGTCACTACTGATATTTTATCTACTCTATACTTTATAACCTTGATTAATAGATTTTTGTCTTTTTCTCTATAATGGGGAAATACGTGTGGTGTTTTTGAATGGATAGGCTGATTTTCTCAATGATAATTTTTTCTTAATCAACGTTGTGGGGTTAGCACTACAAAGAAAACAAAAGTTAGGGATCCCACCAACCCAAACCCAAATTCATCTATAATTAGTTTCTATCTGTAACCAGTTTCCTTTGTAGCACTTACTACTATTGACAATTATCTTACTGATCTGTTTGTTTTGTTTTGATTTGTTTGTTTTGTTTTCTTCCAGTCTCCCCCATTAGACAATCAACTCCATGAGAGAAGGACGATGCTATGTTGGTCACCATCGTACCCTCAGCACTCAGTATAATGTTTGTCCCATACTAAGAACTGTACACATTTGCATTGGATGACTACATTGAATAACTGATCTGTGTGACATCAAACTTGTCAAAAGTCCCTTGTTCTTTTGAACCAATGCAACAACCCTATTTAGCCAACTTAAACTTCCTTCGAACATAATCTTAAACATTATCCATGTTGTGTAGTCCTGACCTTTGTTCAAGGACCTCAGTCAATACCAGACTTCTCTGGGCACCACCCCTGAGTAACCTCAAGAAATTCTGATTCGTTCTTTGCTTTCCCCCATAATATTCTATGATTTGGGGGTTTTGTCCTCTTATTTCATGTTTATATGACCTATTCCTGGCATTATATTTTAATTGATATTTTTTGTCCTACAGAGACTAGTCATTTTTTTCATGCTATTGGAGACTATGTCAAATAACATATACCTTTTTTTCTTCTTGGAATGCCAGTTTGCAGTTAAATGAAATATGTGTTCAGGAAAACATAACATCACTTGTTAAACAGCACATCCCTGATGCCCAATTATCAACAGCAAGCGAAGGAAAAGTTGTGTATACATTACCCTTAGAAAGAACAAATAAATTTCCAGGTAATGTACATGATAATTACTACAACCAACATTTTTGAGGGCTTATGGTGTGTTCAGATATTGAGACATGATCAAAAGAATAGTATGATAACTGGATTATTTTGTCTATAGTGGTAAATATTATAGGGATCTCCTTTCAGTCCTTTTTCTCCTTTTAATGTGTAACAGAATATTCTAGTATTCATAACTGTACATAAAGAGAAATGGTCTAAAACCTCTGGCTTAAGCACTATATTAAATAGCCCCATGATGTGGCTATTTCTTTTTTTTTTAATTTCTGATTATTATGGGTACATAACAGTTGTATATCTTTATCGGGTACACGTGATGTTTTGATACAGACACACAATGTGAATTTATCAAATCAGGATAGTTGGAGTACCCATCACTTCAGGCATGTAACATTTCTTTGTGTTAACAACATTCCAATTCCACTCTTCTTGGCAATACTTTTGTGATAGCTTTGGGTTTTTCAGCCTAATACATAAAAGTTTACTAATTATGTTTGTTATTCAGGGAATCTGTTCCCTGACAATGGGGCACTGGGAGAGCCTGCAGTGAGTGGTTGAGACAATTAACTTCGCCATATGTGTGGTTAACAAAGACATATAAATTACCCCACAAAGTCATTCCAGTATACATTTTATGGTGACAACACAAGTGTTTCTTAGAATCATCAGGCAAAGTGTTGATCTAACACTAATTAGTCTATTTTAATTTAATTAGGGTATTAATTAGAGTATTTTAATAACTTAGAGAAAATTTGTGAAAGTTTTAGATGGAATGACAGATAATGCACAGTACTCATTAGCAGTTTAAATCTTACTTCTTTTCTGCCTTTCTGTATATAGTGTTCTAGTCAAGACAGAAAGGTTTTAACTAATCCTTTTGTCCAAGCAGGAACGCCAGGTTGAAGGCTCAGAACTTCTATAACCAACCTAGAATTTAGAATTAGGTTTTTATTTAAGCTTTATTTAATTAATCACTATAATTCAAATCCATACAGGCAAGGACAATATCCATTGCTTTATGAACAATGACTAATGCATAATTATTTTTTGATGAATAAACTAAAGAATGAATGGATACAAAATTCCTAGAGAGAGTAATAATTATCACAATTCCCTGCTATTCCAAGAAAATTCCCTAAGTCAATTTCTCATTCTCTATCTATTAGAGGTTACGAATTTTTTCTTCCATTGCCAGGAACAGAAAATTTTTAAAAATGGCTTATAATCTGTATCTTTCCTTTGAAAGGCTTTTTTCTGAACTAAAGAAGATTCTGTAACATCCAACTAATTCTCAAAAAATTAGTTCTTTCCTTTTAGTCAGATATAGCATAAATGGCTCCATTTGTATCTGCTCTCTGGAAAAGACTCTTCAATTAATTGGGCTGAGAGTTGGAAAATTCAAAGTTCCACGATTAATTAAATTTTAAAAGCAATTCAGAAAAAAGCTAAAATGTAATTTTAATAGAAATATAAATGAGT